AGTCGAAGGAAGACTAATTTGGAAAATCGACCATGATTTCACCGTGGTACGCTAACATGTATCCTCTATCCTCCCGTTTCCATGACAATACGGAATGGTGACCACACAGTGATTTCTTGTTTGGAAATATCCAGGAGTCAGCAAAGACTCCATCGCCTTTTTCGTATGTGCATCAGTCTAATCAGGACGTTCGGAACAATGGAGTGTGAGATTTGAACAAACGGCTCCATTTATCAACACCGAAGTGTTGCTTACGATGGGCGAGATGGCCCAAGTGGTTGGAGCGCGAATTTGCTGACCGGAGGGTCCGTGGTTCGAACCCGAATTCCGCCAATCGACTTCCCCTGTCTAGGCCTTGGCAACCTGGCAGTATCCCAGTCCTCATGCTTCCTTCGGGTGGCTTGGCAGTTAGGCACCGAAAGGGTGCTACAGCTGAACGATTTATTTATTTTTATTTAGAGACTTTTGGGAGCATTTCGACTGCAGTTCGTCAGTATATTGCTCAGGGAATAAGTAACATTTCCATGGTCACTACCCGAAAGTTAGATTGTTTGGAACAGCAGTGGATGGCACATATCCTTGGCTACCACTGCATTCATCCACCCAGTCGGCGTAACTTGGGTGGATCCATTACGGGGTGAAAGTACAGGTGCTTGCCTTACATACCAGACTATTCGTGTTCGACACCGACTTTGGTAACAGCAACATGTGGGTTTGATGCAGCTTCTTTGCTACGGACCACAGTAAACGCAATAGTAAAGAGAGAAAACCGCTGAAGCGGGTGTGGTTGAGGGTTGCTAGGCTTTAATTGATGTCCGTCTATTATTGCAATGCGCCCAGAAATGGAGGTGATCTTTCGAAATAGCTTTAAACAACCTTGAGTTTCAGGAACTGTTTTCGCTAAAAACACAGAAAAAGGTGGTTCTAGTGAGCATTTTGCACACGCGGGGAGCCGGAAATTTGTTAGTTCCGCAAGCACTTCACCGTCCCAAAACAAATGATAACTAGGGTAAAGTCGCGTATTCCGGTGTCTTTTTACTGCTGACTGGTCATGAAGCCAGGTGGATAACACAGGCATAAGCTAAAAATAATCAGAAGAAAATTTTGTAATCAGTCGTCCTGGAGTACGGATGTTAAGTGACACCCTTGTCCAGTGCAAGCTTTTATCAAGGACTTGCCGTTATCGATCGGTTCATTCCTCATAGTTTTTGATCTCACTCAATCTGGCAGCATCAACTTAGCCTTAGAAGGTCTGAAGTGCATACTGAATTACTCAGCATATTTGATTAGATCATTGTTTATTGTCTGAATTTGCCTAAGGTCAAAATCAAGGGCTTCAATGCCTACATGCACTATGTCTATGGAGTGCATTGGATCAATTGCTTTGTTGGCCAAATCGTTCACTAACGATTGTGGCAAGTTCAAGTGAATGCCAGCTGTTCACGGATGCCAACGTTAGTGCATATTGCTTGAAATAGGCCAAATATTTTTACGAAAAGGTAGTTCCGCCGCTATAGAATGAAAAAAAGTCATAAATAAGATTCACTTTAAAGGTGTACACTACCAATGCTCGTGGAAAATGGTGATGCTGTTGTGAGAGTTTTTGGAAGATAAAGCCTACAAAACATGACAGGACACAACCCATTTTTATTGAATCTATCACCTCTAGTGTCGACCAAGTTGCACAGTAAATAAGATGCTAATGCCGCATCGTCTTCACCCAACAAAGACTGCGTAATCTTGCTAAAAACCTTGTTCACTGTCTTCATATTTTTATGCACAACTCCATTTAGCTGCTTTAAGTGCAATTTGGTCGTGCCAACACATGCTTTCTTTCCTTCTCTTTTAAATGTTGCTCTTCATCAGGTGTATGGAAGACGCTGTGCAGAGTCCAGTCAATATATTCCATATACTCTCCATGTGACAGAGTACATGTCCTCTATACAAACACTTCTTTAAGTCTCTACAGCATGTTTTGTCTGTTGGCACCCGGACTAAAACTCACCGTCTCCTATTCGCGTCCTGACATAGGAACCAAGAATGAGACTCTCTCCCTCAACGGTATTTATCTATGATAGTGATAGGTCCTGATTAAGAACTAAGTTGTGATATCGCACATACTGAAAGAGTCAAAACCAACGCGCGATCTCTAAAAATGCTTATTTCCGGCAAAAAAACGAAGTGACGACGGCACACGATTTTATTGGAAACAAGATTGTTTGCCGCTATGGTTTGCAAACCGGAAGTCGCATTTGATCTCGGCCATGGTAATATGCTCAAAAGCATGCCAAAATTGTGCCTGCTCCCTGGGTCGCACAAAACAATAACTGAACTTGTGCTTGGAGAAACAGCTCCAAAAGCAGTGATTGAACGTGTGCAAAGAGCCTATATGCCATCTCGTCGTATAAACGGAGAGGTATCAGAATGTTATCATTCTAAACCTTCTGACATAAGTTGCCGTCTGGAAAAACGAGCTAAAGGATCTGTTCTATAAGGATGGGCGCATAAAACCAGTGCGCTTTGCTTTCGCATGATACACGAACGTTACTAACTGATAACGTCATACTGGAGTTAGAAGAGATGATTCATGTTTTTAGCTGACTACCTTAGAAAAGCACCGTAGATGATGCAGTTTATGGAGAAAAAATTCGGCCATGTCCATTTTCGGACGCCAAAGAACGTGTTCAGACAATTGCAATGGACGTTGTTAGATTGGCTACTGCGGTAAAGCGATATCAAAACTTTGTTGTTGAGTTGGTTGGTCCGTTGCTGAGCTTCCTAGTCTAAAGGCTGCCTACGTCCCACGTCACCGGATCCACTACCAGATTGACATTTCAAAAGTATAAGCATTCAGTTCATCGCTCAGACAACCGATTTTTGAAGCCTCAAAGAAGCCCTAATTCTCATAGAGCGGATACCTGAAGTAAAGTACATACTAAGGAGCCTGTATAACGCTCAATATGGCTTCAAACAAATTTGCTCAGCAAAATATTAATGGTGTGAGATATCTTCCTGTAGGATCTTTGGCGAAATTGCACTGTGAGTGTAACTCAGCCCGATTTCGTGAAAACTTGAATATAGACTCACTAATACGTATTGAGGTTTTTTCAGCCAGCGCAACATCGAATGGTGACGGATTATTGATGCCGCTGGGAGCGCGATTGAGTTACCTCAGTGTATAAATAAGTTTCGAATTGATGTTTCCGATAGAACTGGGAATATAGATTATGTCGCTTCGTTTGGATAACTACAATAAGAAACTTGGGCCTGAAGTGATTAACAGGCTACACGCCTTTCAAGATTAATGAGGGTTTAGTATGACTCAGTTGCGTAAAGTTTCACCGTTCACATACGCCTACGTCGAAATGAGAGGTGAGATGTGTCAGTGGTTAGAGCGCAAATCTACTGGCCGGAAGATTCGTGGTTGTAACCCGACCTCTGCCTCTCGACTTCCACTGTCTAGGCGTGGTAAACCCGGCAGTATCCCATTCCTAGTGCTTCCTTCGCGTAGCATGGCAGCCAGGCATCAAAGGAGTGCTACAGCTGAATGCCTTTTTTACCTTGAAATGGGCGTAAAATAGGCGATTATTCCGGCAGGCTTCATTCGGGTGAGTTCGAAAACATTAGGTCAGTCACCAATTTAAATCGCGCTATGGACTTCCGTATTGTTTGATATATTATCAAACGAACTTGTTCAAAGCCATCACTACTGTTGACAGTGATGCTTTATTGTTTTATTTGATTATACTTAAGTATATATATAAAAGCTCTAAAGTAAAAGTGGGCGAGAAATAGACCTAGTGCTGTCATACTGCAAGTAATCCGAGACGTCTAAACCACCGGACGCTCAGTGGAGAAATCTGAAGAGCATCTAGCAACATAAAAGCCTCTGGTATAAGATACCTGCCATTTCTCGCAATTTCCCCAGCAAAGTGCAGGAAACACATAGTATTAGCATTCTGGCTCCTCATTGTGTGAATAAGGTGAAGAACTGCAGAACAACCTCTTCCGATCATAGCGCAAAATGCCATAGGTTATGAAAACACCCAGTGAGGTGTAGTTGGTCACCTGATGTGAGGGATGCGCTTCAAAAAACATTTTGATGGTATGTCCATCCAAACTCGCAGACACCTTTTCTCTCTTTGAACTTTCATCCCGAAATATGTGGCTGGCCCACCTAAATTAATAATTGTACTCTGTTTTAACATAGCCCGAATCAGGTGGCAGCACATCATGTGTGGAAGTCTTCTAATGATAGTTGCTTGAATTTTGAGGCAGTGAACAGTCCGAGAAGTTCCAGAAATTCGAGAGAAACAACTTGAAAGCAGGTTCTCCTGTCCGTGACGTATTGACAAGAGTGCAGAAGTGAAATGAAGAATTCTAAAACGTCTAAAAATCTAGGTTTGAAAGCTTAAAAGTGGTTTTGACGGGACCGAGAAGAGGTATAGTCATCACACTCTAATATTCATCATAAACGTGAGTTTTTCCGACAGTGGCGAAACCAGATCGTTAGGAAGGAATCCAGAACTGAATCAGATGGACCTCCTAACCAAACTAAATGAAGACGCAGCCTAGACGCAGCTAAGGTATCGCTGTTCCCATCAAGAAGGATGCTAATGCTCTGTTTATCACTGGCCGATGCACACAAATTAACCCAGGTAAGTGCAGACAGAGCATACAGTGCATGCAATATATACAGTATCTATATGCTGCAGTATACAGTGGCCACTGCCTATAATAAAATATAATAAAATAATCCATCCCTTGCGGGATCAGAACTGAAGTTAGTTGAGAACATTCTGAACCTGTGAACCGTCTCTCATTTTCTGCGCTTCCCGACTTTATACGTTGACAAATATATCCAATACATACAACACTCGAAAATGAGTCCTCCAAGTATTCTGCTATAATCCTCGACCATCCTTCTCCCCCTACCAGGCTATTTACTAATATTACAGTATTCGGTCAAAGAAATTTGGCAAACGAACTGTTAAACTTACTCGTTTTTTGGGACAGGAGATTGAGAACTCGTACTCATGACCAACATCACTAGATAAGCACCAATAAGAGCCTTTTCCGGGATCATCTCTCGACCTCGGAACTTTCGTGAAGGATTTGTTAAGTGAAAGATTATGACGTATAGAGTTCTGCAGAATAAAGTTAGTAAGGCCGATGATTTTGCACGTTTACCTTCCAGCCACCACCTGCTTCACAATAGTAGGGAAAATTTTCACAAATCCACTGATATATTTCACTCAGTGTCATTCGCTTTTCATGAGAACTTTGAATGGCCGCGGTGATCAAACTGGCATAGCTATAAGGAGGTTTACCCTCCGGCTGGCAAATTGCTGATCCGCATTCAGAGTCTGTCTTGTTGTCATCTGCGGTCGCTGAAGGCGTAGAAAAGTCTAGATTAAACGAAAAATCGCTTTCTATCGATGCAGCTAGCATATTAATGCTGAGATTTGGAAGCCAGTCCATTGCCGTTAAACTGTTATCTGTCTCCATCCTTGAAGCACAATTCAGGCCATTTCAAACAGTGCACAGTTTATAGTGTGACTAATATAAACAAGACCGTGGAAACGGTTTGGATGGTCAGTTCCCCGAGTTGGTGGACCAGTGACAGAAATACTAAAGAAGAGTTGAAAATAATGTAATTTTGATTGCCTACTCCGATCTTCTTTTCTTGTTCGCACGGACAGAAAGACACGCTAGGCGATCTTCTTTTCTTGTTCGCACGGACAGAAAGGACACGCTAGGTTAATTGTTTTTTTTTTCGGTTTATCCCAGTACCTCGAAGTTTCCAAGATATTTGAGCGGACAGAATATCGCCCGAGCTTGCCTGCAAGATGCCCGTGGATATATTGGTACTGTGTTCTTGCTGGTTCCATGGGTAGAAATTACACCCTGCGGTGTCTGAGCGTCAGCAATTCTGTCTTTAAAAAGCGAACCTAAACTACTCATTTCGGTCTAAATTTGGAGCGACCACTCTTTCGAGAACACCTGGATCAGCAGAAGGGCCTCGCGCTTCATTCGAAAGAAGAACCCCTTCGCCAAATTCGACTTTATCTCTGTCTGTGGATCCACTGATGTATATTACTGCCGGTGAAGTTAGTAGTCTTTAAACCGAAGCTGTGCAAAGGTATACCACAGCAGTGTTTCTACAGTTTAAGTGACCTGTTCCATTGTGCTGAGTGGCCAGTTTGATGCCTAACTGGTCTGGCATATCCGTTTGCATTATGTGGTGAGGATGTGTAGTAGCTGCTCCGGTGTGTCCGAGAGTTAGCGCCTGTGCGTTTCCGTTCGTCGTCCCACCATCGATCTGACGTGTAACTTGATTGGATGCGTGTCCGGTTGGTTGGCTTGCGTGAGCGCCGTGTGTTGACTGGATATGTGGCTTAATCGTTTTGCTTACCTGCCACGATAGCGGACCAGTTTGGCCGCGTGTACTCAATACACCCGTGTCCATACTTTACGTGTTCTTCTGACTTACTGTGAACTACAATAGGATGTCGAATCAAAACAACCCGGTATACGCTTTCAGGCATATGATCGCTGGGTGAATCGCAAACTATAACTAACTTCCAATCAGCCCATGCAAAGCACGAACTGCGTATGCCACCCGCTGTGTGTGGTATCTCCCTTCGAGCCTTGCGTGTGAAACAGTTTGAAATCAAATATAACTAGGATATTAAGATCATGGTCCCAATCAAATTACTACGGATGCTTCGCTATAATCCACAAACTGGGCCTCCTGATTGCGGATAGTTGAGGCTACATTCATGTCTCACCAGATCTGGTTCATTTAACGACTCGCGTAGAGGGGTCCATACTGCAGCTGATTCCCGGTAATTTACATCTAACCTAGCATTTCGCCCGCGATTCCATCTCCCCCACTCACCCTACTTCGAATTCGGGAGCGACCATTTTATGGGAAAATCAATCTAAAAGATCGAAATTGACCTCATCAAAAGACCTGGACATTAGCTGAGCACTTCTTGGGAAAATGTCAGATTCCAATATTTTTCACATATTTCAGGAGTGGGTGACCTCCAGTCTATCTACACGTAAAACGTTGAAGCAAATCGAATCGGTGATGAGTGCTTCTTACTTCACAGTAACACTTTATCTAGACGGTGACCTCAAAGCTTCAACTACGCTGCAGCATGCGCGAAAAAATTTTTCGAAGCAAGCGGTGAAATGTTTCTCATGCTCAATAGCATCACCAAGCCCGCAGTGGGCTACTCGAGATATTTCCGACCTGCACTTTAGAGTCGCAATCTTTGCAGTTATCTTCGACGGTTAGCTGAGACAATTGCTAAATAAGCAGCTCACAGCCACACTTGTAAGAAAGCTGATTGGAACGCTGTGCGCAAAGTTCCGAAAACACCGGCGCAACGGACGGAACCTTCCAGCAGGAGCTATGAACAAACTAAATATCCCAAAAATAAATTTCAGCATTAAGGCCAACATGAAATTTAAAACGACCACATTAAAAAGGGTTTCGGTGGGACTTATGATAAGATGCAAAGTAAATAATGTTTGAGACTCAGTTGCGCTGATACAGGATCGTTTTGCGCTCAATCGGGACTCCAAACACCAAAGATGGTGCATGGATAACCGATGTACAGCTCGTCTGGAGCTCGGACCCTGAGGTCAGCATATATATGTATACTTGCATATGCTAGTGTAATTAATAAATGTTTTTTAGGCAGACTAAATTAACCCTGCAGTAGATAACGGCCCGACTTTCACCACCATCTATAAGATTTAACCCAGGAGGGACACCCTTATAAGAACCACTCGAAAAATATCCCTACTGCATAAAGGATAAATTGCTTGTATCAGTTGGCTTGATTTGCAGCGATTATTTGATTTGGTCAAAAGTCAGTATCCTTTACATAAACTGGAATTTATCTGCGTCGAGATAGTGTGGGGTTGGTGAAATGTAGATTTATGGCAGCTGTGGTTATTTTACACATTTAAAACTACCGTATTCACAAGTGGATTGCCTCGTTATGAGCACCGCAGCATTTAATATTTTGACGTTTGCAGCGTTAAAATGCCGTAGTAGTAGTAGTGCTAATTTTCTTTCACCATAAAAGTCATCGACCACCTTTGAGTCATTGGGCTGGTGGATAATACTCAAGCGCGGTGCAATTGCTCAGATTTCATGGGCCAAAGAGTTCAGTGGTTGCCAGTTGTCATAATTGCAGCGCCAAACCCGGGAGGCGAAAACAGGAATTTATTTGGTATTATCCCCTCCGTTATCCTTGTGGTAAACCGAAACACTACTAAACCGCAGAATCACGAATTAGGCATCCTCAGGGGCCCATGCTGTGTTTTACAACCAGCAGTGGCGACGGCTGTCTCAGGCTGTTCTACGTAAACATTACTCGTCGATAACTTGGCCCCTCCGGTGTTTCGTGTCTGTTCCTTGAAAATCACTTTTCATGCACCGGCCCGTTTTCACTGGACTGACGGAAGAGTGATACCGGCCTACAGAGCGTCCCCCAAGGTCCATGGATTAAGAGCTAAGAGCGGAAGTTGTATGTTTGATAAGCTTGGTACTTCATTTACCCTTTATATAATTTGGTAAGAACCAAGCAGTGCGGTCACTCAGGCAGCTGTTTTGCGTTTACGCTAAAAAAGAAGCATAACTCAGAGGACATCGGTCGAAAAGTTGTTTTCATTATGCGCAGGTTTTGAGTGGGTTTAACCAAACATAGTAGAATGAAGCGAGATACTCAGGCCCTTTTCAGTTTGTCTCAAATCCTTTTGTCGAGCCCTTTACCGTGCTCCATAGGATCGTTTTAAGACACCTCATTGAACGAGATTTATCACACTTTGCCGTTGAGATTGGGATACCAACCCATCACCTACTGCTACTGATACTATTGATGGGACATGTGATTTGCCTACGGTATTCTCGAAGCTTCACTCCGCGTCTGATAGATGGTAAAGTCTGTTACGGAACTTGTGAAAATGCTTTGCAACGTTCATTTACAATTGCGTTTCCATCGATAAATAACCACTCATTTTCGATAAGACACGTCTACTTTTTGAAGACTGTGCGCATATCAGGTGTTTGCTTTCCTGTCCCATAGTTTCTGCCTGCAAAGTTAGTGTTTGCTGTTGAGAGACTTACTATTTATACACGACGACGCCGCCAGATTGTGGACAAAGATGATCTAAATCTTTTAGAAACAGAGGCGTGCGAACCTTCCAGGAAAATTTCGAAGGCGCTATGGAAGTGGCTGTTGTGCAGACCGACCGGGACACACAAGTCCTCCCTCAGAGGCCGGGCGAAGGCTGCCCTGGTAGGATCAGGAGGAGCTTTCAAGGAGTGGACTGGACCGCCGGTAAGCTTTTGCAGAGGAGTTCGACACACCGGCCGACCGCCGGGCGGCCTTGTGGCGGTTCAAGTCGGCCAGAATGGGACCTGGGTGCGACCCGAACTTGGTCTCTGCCAGCCTGCAACAGTCGTTGGATCGGGCTTCTCCGGGACTGGACGGGGTGTTACGCCAGCAGTTGCTATCTGACCAGTTCGTCAAATATATGCGGTCTGTGCTTGGTACCCAGTCGCGGCTGGCGAGAGTACATTGCCAGTCGAGCGCGGAGGTACTTGTGCATCTGGCTTGGGAATGAGCCGAGGCGTTACCGACCACTTTGCGGCCACAGGAGAAGAGGGTTGAGTCATCAGCGGAATGTCTGCGGAACAAAGCGAACCAACAAACGGAACAGCCTGAAGCCATAAAGACAGAATCTTAGGGGCTTACACGAATTAGCTGGGGCTACAAAGGTGACACGCCTGACCGCCGGAAGAAACGATGTCTTTGTAACCGACCACCCGTAAAAAATAAGACTTTGGATTACCCCCATTTTCCCCGGTGGGTAGCAATTACACCCGTGACGCAGGCAGTGGTACCAGCCGGTATTAGGATAAATGAAGGATGGAGTGTATCTTGATTATACATAAGCAGTGGTATTGCTGAGGCAGAGAAAATGCAAAGATGTGTTCAAACCATGTGCTTTAGCCGTCACGGCGGTAGGTGGATACCGACTTAAGATTAACAGATTGTGAATGCTCTAATTGCGTCTAAGTGAGAGGTCCAGTAGACAAACTTGAAGGCAGATTTTCTCAAGAGTCCAAAAACTGGTCGGCATACAGCGGGGAAAACTGGTGACAAAGTATGGTTCACGCGAGTTTGAAATTTATTCAAGCACTGCCGTAAGAGCATTGCACCGGAAAATTCGGTCTTATGATGAGCCGTTAGTATAGCACATGGTCGAGGAATACTTTGAGGAGTTTGTAGGCGACCAAGATCCCCTCTGCTTCTGCCCGTGAATTGAACACGAAATAATTTTCTTATCCAAATGCTTTCTTCCTCACGGCCTTCGTCAGCTGTCACTCAGTCTACGATAAAGGCTCAGTAAAGAAAGTCAAAATATTTTAAGAAGAAGCATAATATAGGAAGACAACAGTGCATACAACTCACCGTTGTGCT